CTTGCTGAACCTACGGCTCTCGTTCCAGAGAGGAGTTCCGTAGCTGGACTGGATAATTTTATGGTCAAGCAAGATAAAACGTCCCCCCAAGAGATACCTTTTCTCCCTTCTCTGGCTCTACCGGGGCACTGGTTAGGCGGGTTATTTTGTTTTTTTCCTGTGGCACACGGCAATGCTTTGGATATCGACAGCCCAAGTAAAGCCATTAAAAATGTCCCGAAGGTTGTCAAGGAATGCCTCCTCGAGCTCCTTCTGGGTAATATGGTTTCCACCCAGAATAGAAGAAGGGTTAAAACGTACTGGAGAAAGATACGTTGTTGACACGCTTACTAGGTGTTTATAACGGCACCTGTGTGCCATGCGGCTCAAGGTGGCTCAAGGTGGATGCCCGTCTCAGCGTACAGTTCTCGTGTCCCGAGGAGGCTGTAACACGCGTGTTTCTGGTGCCGTGCGTGCTGTCACAAGTACACACCGTCACTCAAGGGGGGGGGGTGGGCAGGGTGCCGCCCGAGGCCATCTGCGCAGGGCCAAGGTCACAGCACCCAAGACCATGCAGAGTAGACACGAGGGGAGGCCACCAGGCTCCCTGGCCCTCGCATGGTGTGAGATGGTGACAGAAACGTCCAGGTTGCCAGATTTGCAGAGTGCAGGCCGTTTGCACCACGCAAACTCCCTTCGAAGGACGGCCCCGTCCTTGGAAAAGCAAAAGTATTCTGGGTGGGAAGTGTTGTGGGTGTTCAATCACTTTAAATCAGAGGTGTGTTTTTTTTTTTATTTTTTTTTTATTTTACTATTTCAAAGCTCTCTGGCTCTTATGCTTTTTAAAAGAACATGAGGTCAGTCTTGTATTATGAGTGAAAATAGAAACAGCTTAATGCAGTGACAGCTGCAAGAGATTTTGGTCTTCATGGTCTCCGCAGCGTTGACCCTAGAGCCACGTGTCCACCCACCACGCGCCGGCTTGCTTCTCCGAAGCGGTCTCTCGGGGTGGCCGTGGGCGTGTGGGTGGGATGTCACATAGACGTCTTCGCTCCCCGCTTACTTTACATGTGAACACAGCTATTTCTTCTCAAAACAGCCTCTCCACGCTCAGGTGTGAGGGGGAGACAGAGCTGTACCCCGGGCCAAGTACTGCGTCCAGGACGTCTGGGGGAAAGGTCTCCCCAAAGCCTTCTCCTCCGGCAAGCACCAGCCAGAGGACACGGAGCATCGATCGTGTTTAAAATCGCCGATTCTGTTTAATCTTCTCTCCCAGAGCATTGACTTCCAGGCAGAAACGTTAGAAGCTACTTCTTTGTTTGTCTGCGAACTTCCCTTCTGTGCGTTCCCTCTACTCTTTTGTCCCGGATGGCCTGTCAAAGAATTCTAAGGTTTTTCTCCCAATGAGCCGGGGCGAGAGAGAATCTCATTATAGAAACACAGGCAGCTTTCTAGGCTTGAAGGAGCTCTCCTGATATTAAATAGCATCCACCTGCAAGCATTCACTTGGGTTTTGTGGACAGGAAGCATGTCTGATCTCAGAGGGTCACGTCCGCTCCCTCCGAGGTGGCGGAGCACCTGACCTGAGACTCGGACTCAGAGTGTAGACGGTGCAGTGTTGGAGTTCACCAGCTACTAGCCTGGCGTGGGGGCCAGACCCTGGCGTGGCTCGGTTCCCTCATCTTTGATGTGGGGATAGTGACACAGGCATCGTGACATGACGCCCGTGACTGGCTTAGAGCAACACTCGGAGCTCAGTAACTCCGGGCACGTGCTGTTCATTGTTCTTGACAAATCCCGGTCTCTTTCTCTTTCCAGTTCACCGCGAAACAGATATATTTGACTGCGCCCTGTGGCACCAGGTGACCTCGGGGATTTACCCACAAACCTCCTGAACCTCTGGTTGTAGGAGCAAGGGCAGGAAATGTAGTAGTGCATCGTTTTAAAAAAATATCCTCGTCTTTCTGTTATTGTCTGACCTTAAGCGGTTTCCCTGGGATAAGGAGAAGTTTGCTGCATTTCCATCAAGATAACAATCTCAGCATAATTTTCACGGCATAGTTGCCTTGCAATATTCCATTCTGGTCAACTGGAAGTTCACATTTTTTTTTTTTTTCTTATCTCGGAACGTTCAGGTCAGTTTATAAAAATATTGCTACAGCAAAGTAAATGATTTGGAAGGGAAAATTCTAACCGCTGTGGTTTTCCACTTACAAGGGTCATGATAACAAATAATTGGTATTGGCTTCTGTGGCTCTCCCCGGCCAGCCCATTGCTCCCGGCCTTGTGGAAGGAAGGAAGTTTCTAGGCTCACTCAGCACAAACCTATCTTTTTACAGACGAGGAAACTGAGGCCCAAAGAGATGAAGTGAAGTGGCACTGCTTAAATCGACAGCAGAATCAAACTTTTAACTTGGGACCTCAAACCCACAGTCATATATGTGTATATGGTTTTCATCTACATACATGTATATAGTTTTCATAGGCATATTAATAGTTGTTTTTTTTGTTTTTAAACTACTCAGAGCAAGAGTTACTCCTTTTAGATTGAGGAAGAGAGAAGCTATAAGGTGCATAGCCAGGTGTATTTTTTCAAACTACCATTGTGAGGAATTTGAATTTCAGAACTGCATATGAGCTTTTTGAGAACAATCTATTCATTTGCAAAACTTAAAGCCGCAGCAGGGAACTCTCGAAAGTCACCAAGTCTGTTCACAGGGATCAGTGGCGGAGGTTACTCTGGGCTCCTCTGCCGGTGGACTTCTTTGTAGATGAGGAAGGAATGTTTTCCTTTTTGAGACTAATTAACTGCACGTGAAGGAGCCGTTTGGGAACAGCCAAGGAGACGTTGTCTCTCCTTTTCATTCTGGGAATTACCAAGAAGAGGCGGCTGAGGTCAGTCTAGCTGCCCAGCTCAAATTTTTATGCCACTCGTACTGACCTAAAAGAAAATTAAAAAAAAAAAAAAAAAAAAACTGAAACATCACGTTCCCGTTGGTAACGAGGCCTGGGAAGGGAAGACTGGTGCCGGATTCTTCCGGATCAGAGTGTAAAGTAGGTTAGCTGGAGCCGGTGCACGGCGTCTCCCGCTGGGCTGCGGGAACAGGATTCAGACGCGGATGGGGCCACGGTGTTGCAGGGTTCCGGAAGAACTGGGCCAGGAGCCACGGCATCAAAAGGGAAGAAGGGCTCTGAAATCACCTGCTCTGAGGCGAGGGTCTGAGAGGTCCTTCCGGCCTGGCAGGTGTCAGACTCGGGCTCCCGGGACGGTCCGGGGCGCGGTGATGCCAGTATTCCGGCCCCAAATCCCTCGCCGGCCTGGAGCCCGCCGTGTTTGGTCTGCACGCGGCTCCCGGCACAGACCCTCGCCGTTGCCTGTGTGATGCCATGGGAGCAGCTTCTGCTGTCGTGTGTGGTCTCCGTCCCAGGTTCCGGGCGAGACCCTCTGCGCGTCCAGAGGGACGAGTGTCTTTCGTGCCCCAGTGAGAGGACCGGGGACGGAGGCCCTGGACAGATGGGGTGTGGGGACCGGGAGGCAGAAGGCCAGGCAGGACTAGAGGGCTGGAACGTCCACCCTCCACCTCCGCCTCCCAGCTCATCACCGACAGCCAAGGAGCCCATCAGCCATGCCAGGCAATGACGCCTCCACAAAACCCCTAAACGGCGGGGCTCAGGCTGCCCCCGGGCTGGTGAACACCTTGACAAGAGGGCAGGGCAGGGACCCCAGCTCTCCCGGGACACAATCTCCTGCACTCCAGACCCTTCCCGACCTCTCGCTGGGTGCTTCTCTGCCCTCGTCGACGCCTTTACAGAAACCTGGTAGGGGGGAAGCGAAGCGTTTCCTTGAGCGCCGTGAGCCATTCTAGAAAATTACTGACCTCAAGTTCGGGGCCTCAGGCACCCCCTGTCCGTTTCAGCTGGACGTGGCAGAGCTTGGGAGGCCTGGGGCAGCCCGTGGGGCGGAGACCCTTCCCTGTGGGGTCTGCCCTAACTGCGGAATTGAATTAAATGGTAGAACTCCCGCTTAGTGTCCGGAGATTTGGAGAACCGGTCGTTGTGGGGAAAGAGCCCACACATGCGGTATTAGACGTGGAGGTGGGAGGAACAGACCGCGGAGCCTCTGCGCGGGTGGCATGACTCGCGTGGTCTGGTCTAATCGCCTTACTAATGGACGCTTGTCTCTCATCTTGGGCATTAAGAAATTAAGAGCAGAGACAGTGAAATGAATCAAACCCGTAGTAGCAACACTTTTTGGTTGTTAGGAACAATCTGTTTGTATTTTGTATTTTAAGTAGTTGTAATATTTAAGAGAATCTGACACATAGAGTATCCAAGGAATTAGACTCGTGATTCCAAATTAAAGTGTGTAATTGCATAGTTAACTTTAGACTTGTTATTTTAAACTGAGAAGTGTAATTTAGTGACACTTGTACACAGGACTGAAATATTTAGGAGAATCACTGTATTTGTAAATTCAATTTATTACACTTGCTCGAGTTGTTAAATGCGTGCAAAGTTTTTGTTTATAAATGAGATCATGGAAGTGAATGTGAGGAAGCCATCATAAGTTAAATTCATTAATACAGTTTGAAATATTCATGAGTGCTTAATAATTAATTGAATTTTGAAAGCCCCCATAGTAACTGCTAAAACTCACCACATTTATACAGAGAATAAAATCACACAAATCCCCAAACCGAAGAAGCAATGTTTTCGTATTTGATACTCAAAAGTCAAATGTTAATAAAATAACAAAAACGAGGAACAGCAAATACTGTGGCCATGCCCCAGTGTCTCTCTCTCTCTCTCCAGGGCACCAAGAAATTTATGGCGACCTTAACAAGATTGCTTAAAATGCAAACATATATGCGCCTACTTTTGTGAAGCAAATACTCTTACTACTTAATAGAAAAGAGTGAAGCAAGTTTCCATTTCAGAGGCAGAATATGCACCTGGGGAGGACAGAACCCACGCTTACCAGGTTTCAATAACGCCACCAACACGCACCGAGGCTCTCTTACCTCCACGGCTGTTCTAGGTGCCAAAGCTGCTCGTGGTCCCTCCTGCCTGGTTCTTGCATCTTGGGCTTGGGTCTAGCTGGCGAGGCCCATGGGGGTCAGTTCACCAGAGGAATGTGTCGTCGAAACCAAACTGGTTTTCAGGTCCAGCTGGTCATCAGGTAATGATCCAACCATCGAGACGAGGAGGGTTGCCTAGGAATGTTTCGATGCAGCAGATGTATGTCCTGTGGGGAGATCGGGAGGAGCTGCCCGAAGTCCCTCTGTGACTCATGGAGACCACAGCCTGCGTTACGATGTCCAAGGCGTGTGGCCCCTTCTTTCTTTTCTGAGACAGAGTCTCGCCCTGTTGCCAGGGCTAGAGTGCCGTGGCGTCAGCCTAGCTCACAGCAACCTCAAACTCCTGGGCTCAAGCAATCCTCCTGCCTCAGCCTCCCGAGTAGCTGGGACTACAGGCATGCGCCACCATGCCTGGCTAATTTTTTCTATATATTTTTAACTGGCCAATTAATGTCTTTCTATTTTTAGTAGAGACAGGGTCTCGCTCTTGCCCAGGCTGCTCTTGAACTTCTGACCTTGAACAATCCTCCCACCTTGGCCTCCCAGAGTGCTAGGATGACAGGCATGAGCCACCCCGCCCGGGGGCTGCGGGGGCTGCAGCAGGTTTCTCCAGGTGCCCAATGGGAGGGATTTCCCAAATCCACCTCTTTGAGAATTGGGGAGAAAGGGTTTTAAAGAGAGCTTGGTGGGCAGAGGGCCAGGGAGTTGGGTCTCCTGACTGGGGGGATGAACTCACCGGGTCAGCAAGCAGAGGCTGTCTTCTCAGTTGGGAGATTTCCGGGGTGGGGGTCTCTGGAGGCTGCTGGATCTGTTCCCACGACCCCTGTCTGCGGTCTGGTTGGCGTCAGTGACCTCTGACCCCAGAACGCAGAGTCTGAAAAATGCTTCCAAGACCAGTCTTGGGCTTCACGACAGCGATGCTGTCTGTAGAAGTGGTGGTGTGTGGGGGGGTCACAAACCCTGCACCTGTCAGGGAGGATGGTGCCATGTGCAGTCACCAGCGGCAGCAGCAAGGAAGTCAGGGAACTGGGGCTGGTCGACTTCTGGCTGAATCTATACTTTCATAAAAATCAGACTCTGATTACTATTTAAACCGTACGACTTTGCACTATTTTAACATGGACGGTTTCAATCTTAACCCATAGGTTGGCTCCCCGCCCCTCCCCCACCCGCCCAGCCTCCAGAGCAAGGCGAGGTTAGGACCCCAAGGCACGGGGCGGTGGAAGGAGCACTGGCTTCTCCTGCCAGCGTCCCCACCCCGAGCTGTGGCTTCTCCTCCACCGCCTCAAGGAATCCAACTTTCCTATGCTTTTGCGAGGAAACAGGTGGTTGGCACGAGAGCGCAGAAGGGAGAGGTGGTGAGAATTGTTTTCTGTCTCCTAAGGTGCCATCCCTGGCCTGGCGGCTTGTGGGGTCGTCACCCCACCTGTGGCGGGAGCAGATGGATCTGCGATCCGGGGGCTCCCCCCTCCCCCACCAGGCTGGCACAGGTGTGCTCTGTCTTGAGTTAAAATGTGCCTTCTCTCCTGCTGCTCGGGAGCCTTAAAACCAGTTAACGTAGAAAAGTAGGCAGTTGTTGCCATTGTTACTCTCATTTTACTGATAAGGAAATAGTTATGTATTCAACAAAGAGGGGTTTCCTTTCCTTCTGGAGATGCACCAGCTCTGAGCTCTTCGCATAATCTAGCACTTACTGCTCCACAAACGCTTGCCAATATTTCGTGCGTAACGATGACCTTCCTCTTAACTCACAGGGCAAGGTCTAATTAATCTGAAATAGCGAGAGGGAAGACCAGTCTGAGTGAGTGAACTCCACTTTGTTTATTTTTTGAGCTGGTTTATTATTTTCAAGTGCCTATCACAACTTGAAGGAAGATTTAAGGAGGAATTTAGGGACATGCTTTGATAAATCGACACGGCTAATGTTGATAAGGATATCAAAGGTGCTTGTACCCCTCAATGACTCTATAATACTTGAAGGCACTTGTAAAACTTTTTCTCTTACATTATTTAAACCTTATTTTTGATGAATTGCATCCTTCATTGAGGCTCTATGTGAAGCAAAGTTCTTGCCAAGAAAGGCAAAACTCAGTGCGGTCCTAAAACAAGCAAATTCATGGCTTCTGGACGAATTAGGTTTTACTCCAACTTCTGAAATCAGACAGATGATTGACATGTGGGAGTGACTGTGTACAAGCTGAGACAGCAGACAGGAGGCACGACTTCTATTCCGATTATTGTCCCTCTAACCTGACTTTTAAATAAGAATAATTACTGCACACTGGCCGATTCCTGTAAACAAGCCACAGATAATTATAGCAGCAACAATGTGTAGTAATGATATTACACGATATGCACTTATAATTTGAACCTTGGGCCACCCCCACTCCTACGGTTCCCCACAGAATGGCTAAAACACTTCCACCCTCCTGGCCTCTTGGAGTTTTGTCCTCTTCTAGAAGAAAGGGGACCTGTTACTATTCTGTTTCTTTACTTAAAAAAAAAAACATACATTAGCAAATCTGATTTCTTAAACTCGGCCTTCTGGACTCGATTCTCGAGACGCTTACAGCCAAAACTCACACCAGGAGCTTGGTCTTCTGGAAATAGCGTCACTGCTTTTTTCTTAAAACGATTTGCATTTTTCTTTGCCCCTTATGAATTGCAAACGTCTTTCTGTTACGAAATGACAACACGGAGGCACAGTTCACTAACTACTCAGGGCTAACGCTCATTTCTTCTCTGGAGTTTTAGTTTTCTTTTCTTTTTTATTCTTTTTTGGTCATATGGATTCGACTGAAGCCTGGGATGTTTTCGTCCGTCCAAAGGCGGAAACAAAGCAGGAGATGTGCTGCCGACATGCGTTTCCCCTCTTTAATTTTTATTCTCCTGTTTTAAAATTTCTCATCGCAAATTACTACTATTGATAAGTGTGTTTTTGTGGTGCTTGGGCTCTAAGAAAGCTCCCTTTTCCCCATTTTCTCCTCCAGGTCCCCGTAAGAGCTGAGCTTCCCCGTGCAAAACCCCACAGTCCCTGAAGCTGAGAACGTTTGCAAGCTCAGTTCACCCCCACGAGGAACGCCGGGCCTGCTGGAACCCCAGGGGAAGATGCACCCCCTTCCGTGTGGTTCCCCTTAATCTTGGCCGATTTTGCCTCATGTGGTGGTGGGAGGTTTTCTTCCACTCAGTCTTCATTTTCTCCTCCTTTTCTACCCACCCCTAAGTCCATGGCCCCGTCTGGGCCGTGGCAGTCCTGTGCTGCTGGGGCCCCGCCCGTGCGCAGGTGTTTCAGGCTGTGCTCCCAGGTGGGCGCAGGCCATCCCCACCCTGCTCTGCAGTTATGGGGAGCTGCGGTTTCTGGAGCTTTTGCTGCTGGAGCCCTGGGCGGAGCTTTTGGGGGGCTTCTCCTCCTCTCTCTGTGCTGGAGGCAGCGTTTCCCCAGCCCCGTTGGGAGGGCTGCTGAGGTTTCGCTCCGGCCGTCAGGAAACACACCTGTGTCCTTTCTCACCCTCCGCCCTCCGGGTGGTGAAGGCGTTGAGAACTCACTGGCATCTGGGCCGCCTCACTGTGGTCGGTTTCTCAGTGTATTGGTCAGCCAGGTGGAACCAAGGCCCTCTGTTAAATTCTCTCCTGAAAGTCCTAGAATGGATGGTGCTTCTGACGGATGCACCTTGGATTCTGCAGTGTGGACCCCGAGATACATCCCCTCTCCTGCTGACCTTGATCTGATGTTCTGCCTGGGCCTCACCTGCAAGGCTGAGAAACCCTCCTGCCTGTGGCTCACCTGTGAAGCTGAGAGACCCTCCTGCCTGTGGCTCACCTGTGAAGCTGAGAGACCCTCCTGCCTGTGGCTCACCTGTGAAGCTGAGAGACCCTCCTGCCTGTGGCTCACCTGTGAAGCTGAGAGACCCTCCTGCCTGTGGCTCACCTGTGAAGCTGAGAGACCCTCCTGCCTGTGGCTCACCTGTGAAGCTGAGAGACCCTCCTGCCTGTGACTAACCCGAGAGGCTGCAAGACCCTCCAACCTGTGACTTACCTGTGAGGCCAAGAGACCCCCACTTACCTGTGACTTACCTGCAAGGCTAAGAGGCCTGTGGGCAGCCCTGGAAGGGAAGGGGCGGTGCAGGCAGGAGGCGGATGGGAAGCCCATTCTTGGACGTCTTAGCAGAACAAACGAGACTGCGGGATAAAGGAGCTCATTTCTTCATTATGCCGACAAACACACGAATTTATGGGCTGGGTTTTGTTCTGGACCCTGAGATGCAGCTGGGAGCAGCACAGAGCTCCTCTCTCTGGAACTTATAAGAGGATTACAGACAAGTAAATAAAACTGAATCTTTTTAAGTAGATTAATTCTAAGAAGAAAAATAAAGAGGGTGCGAGGGTAGTGGTTGGGGGAGGTTTGTGGCGGAGGCTCTTTTCGGGAGTGTTTTCCAGGAGGGCTTCTCCTGGGAGGTGATATTTGAGGACAGACTTGAATGGTTCACTGATGACAAGCCCCAGCTCTAACCCCACGTCAAGTGACCGAAGGAGCTCAGGACACTTTACCCCCAAATGTCACCCCTTGGTGTAAAGAGTATTGTGAATGAAAGGCCCTTAGAGACCGACAGGCCTTGGAAGGGGCTTTCCCTCTGTCTGCGCAAACCAGGCCCATCAAAAAGAACAACTGACTCCCCTCCCCTCCCTGTTATCTGGAGATAGTGCAGGAAAGAAGGTCAGGAATGCACAAGACCTTGCCCAAACCGTTTTAAATATAATACCTGTCTCTCAGGTGCATTGCGACTCCAAAGAGAATCACTCACAAGTGGATCTGTTTCTCCTATCCGTTCACCTTGCCTGGGGACCACTTACTGCTCCTCAGCAGAGTTACCTGTCCCCCACCACCAAAGGGGGCATCTGAACCTCTGGGCCCCTTGGGGTACTGGGTGATCGCTCTGCGGTTCTCCCCTATGTGGTGAGCGGATCTCTTTCTCTTATTGATCTGCCTCCTCATGACCTGATCCTTCAGTGAACCCTCCGCTTCCCCCACGTGGTGAAGAAGAGAATGAACAACATAACCGTGTCTGCTTCCTCGTTGCCAGGGTGGCCAGGTGTGGCTAGTCACCAGGTGAGTCTCTATGTACAGGCACATCAGCAACAAAACCCTAACTACCCCTGGAACCAGACTCCAGGGCTTGTGAATGAAGAGCAAGGGGGTGAATGTCTACCGGCACAAACGCTCTTCCGGCGAGTCTGGATAATGACACGAGACGGTCACCACCTACCGTTCCACCCTGACTCAAGTCCGACACTATTGTTTCACTGGGGATGGGCTTGGCTCCTGGGGCAAAACGCCCGACGGCAAAAGCTGCAGGAGAAAGCGCGGGCCGCAGGGAGTGTGGAGGTGGCAGGGCTGGGCCAGGGCCACGTGGACCTCCATGGAGGTCCCTTCCCGCCCAGGCTGCCCACCGAGGCTCAAGGCAGAGATGGGAGGAATCATGCCAATCACGATCGTGCCCCCGCACATATGTCGACCGCGGTTGGCTTCAACTGCTCAAGGCGGGGGCTCACACTCGCGCGCAGAAATTCGGCGTTAGAGAGACGGACGGGGCCGATTAATTTCAGGTTGTCAGCGTGGGTCGTTCCGGCCTAGGATAGCATCTCCCATATAAATTCGCCGTTTCCCAGAGAACGTTGTTTTAGAATGTGATTTGTGAATTGACGCAAAAAGATGTGTCGAAAGGCATTGTAAATCAAAGGAAAACAGCAGCAAAAGAAGTTATTCAGATCGCTTGAGCCGGTCTATTTGGGAGCCACTTCGGACCAGATACCAGGGAAATCGGAATCGGAATCCTTTCTGCCCGTGGAGGGGTGTTAAGGGCAAAAACTCGACAAGCTCATATACTCCGTGTTGGGAGAGAGGGGGACACCAGGCCAGGCCCCTCGCTAGAGGGTCTGTGTTCGTTGCCACGGTCACCGTCCCCAGCGTCCTGGGAGGTGCTTCTGACTCATAGATTAGGGGCTCAGGGCGAGGAGGAGGAGGAGGGAGGTCAGTAGTGGACCAAGGTCGCAGGATGCAATGCACTGTCTCCAAGACCTGGCCCAAACCACTGTAAATGCAATACCTGTCTCTCAGGTGAATTGAGTTTCCAAAGAGACTCACTCACCAGTGGATCTGTTTCCCCCATCCGTTCGCCCTGCCTGGCGGCCACTTACTGCCCCTCAGCAGAGTCACCCGTGTCCTCCTCTGCCCCTCCCCCCACCCAAGGGGGCACCTGACCCTCTGGCCCATGGGGTACTGGGCGATCGCCGTGTGGGGAGCGAGAATCTCTTTCTCTTCTTGACCTGCTTCATCGTGAGCTGGCCCTTCAGTGAACCCTCCGGTTCCTCCATGTGATAAAAAGCAGAATAAACAACACGATCGGGTCCACGATTATGGACAGGAGTGTCGGCCCGGGCAGCGGCCACGGCGATGCTTGTCTGTGCAGGAAGTATCCGTGTGGCGGCCACACGCAGCCGACTCCCCCAGGGAGCTGCGGATTACCGGACGGCCGCCCCGCGGGCAGGGACCTCGCGCCTCACCGTCGAGCGTGCGCTAGCGAGGGGGCCGTTATCCGCCCCGTGATACTCACGCCCTTGGAGAAGCTTACTCAGAACAGCAACCTTCCCCCGAAAGGACCTGGAGTGAACGTTCTTGAAAGAAGAACAGAGCGAACCACGCAAACGATTGCTTTCCGGGTGTCACGGCAGCCAGCGCCCAGAGAGTCTTGTCCCTTAGGGAAAGCTCAGGTCCGCTGTCCTTCACGTGGTCCTGGGGGTTGGCTGGGTTGTCCCTGGAGTCGACGCGCCCCGCTTCCTCCACCATAAGCAGCATCCTTTGCGCATCTTCGTGCTGCCTTCGTATCAACGCGGTCAGAGCCTAAAAGCCTAGCGGCAAGGCGCTTCCGGGCTGCGCGTCTTCCTGCGTCCCGGGACGTTCGAGGCTTTCTGGGCAGCCTTATCTCCCTGGCGGAGAGGAGGAGCGGGCCCACCCGCCGCGGCCGCGGACTTCTCATCCGCGGTGCACGCTGGGCTGGGAAGCTCAGCCATCCACGCGTCAGATGGAGACTGTCAAAGGCATTCAGAAAAGCGAAGGGACGGGAAGGGAACAAACACAGAGCCATCATAAGGAGTGTCTAAGCAAGACACGCTTATTAAGCAGACTTATTCAGAGGCATCTATCTGATTAGACCGTCCCGGGGAGGTTGACAAAGCGTTTGTCCGTCTGTGCAGGACAGATAAACGGTTGCTTGGCAGATTCCGATCGCCTCTTAGGCGCGACCCCCAAGGAGAGAGTCTGACAGCGAGCCCTGGGAGGCGGGAGTGCCAGCCGCGCGGTGTCTAGACCGGCGGGCGCGTCCCCGGCCCCCTGTCTGGAGCTTGCGGCCGGGCGGCTGCAGGTTGGGGCTCCAGACACTGGGAGCCCTGCCGGTGCTTGCAAGCACGAGGGACGATTGGGGCTGACGCCAAGGACAATCATAGAGACAGATTAGAACACGGCAAGGGGCAAAACGGCCCAAGTAAGCGCGGTCTTAGGGCCTTTCTAGAGATGCGGTTTCACGTCCATAGAGAAACACGTTGCCAGGCGTCTGGGGAGCCTGTGTCCGGCGTGTTGTCCGCTCCTGCTGGCCCTGTTTTCAGAACTGTCACCGGGGCCAGTTGTGGCAACAATGCAGCTGTCACCCAGACAGGTGTAACGGGGATTCTGCAGACCCACCGTGTTCCCTTGTTCAGCCTTTTTGTGTTGACCGTGCAACCCTCTTCCCCCAGCACCAGAATGGCACGGTACGTTCTCACAGTCTCTCTCTTCCAGAGTGCACAGGTGCTATCTTTGAGGCTTTGACAGGCTTCTTTAACTGATATCATGGAATAGATGGATATTTGGGGGGGCAAAAAGCTAGCGAAGAACATGCTACAAATTAGAATGTCTCCTCCCCACCGCGGACCCATTCGCTGATTTTTATTCCTTGTGAAACCGAATATTCACATTTCAGGGCAAACCCTTCCTAGCACCGTGCCACTCACACATCTTCGAGTTACCATTTTCTCTGTCAAGCTTATTCTGCCTGGTGTTTTCCAGCTCTCGTCGTTTTGGTTTCATTGAGTCTAACGGATGCATTTGTCACTGTTTCCAAACGAAAGAGCCAAATAATCGGATTTAGCCCACCCTGCTAGACCAAGGTGCTCTCTGCCTCTCAAGGTCCTTAACTTAATCCCGTCTGCAGCGTCCCTTGAGCCATGGAGGGTGACAGGTCCCTGGGTTCCAGGGATGGATGCGGATGTGGGCGTCGCCATGGAGCCTCTGCTCCGTCTGCCCTGCAGGCCCTTCAGCCACCACCAGGCCACACACGGGGAGCTGAGCCATACACAGCGCCCGGGCCCAGGTCTCCACGGGTAGATTTGGGACCCAGGCAGTTGGTTTCTATGGCCCATGTCTGTAATTATTATTATTATTATTATTATTATTATTTTTGAGACAGAGTCTCGCTTTGTTGCCCGGGCTAGAGTGCCGTGGCCTCAGCCTCGCTCACAGCAACCTCAGACTCCTGGGCTCAAGCGATCCTCCTGCCTCAGCCTCCCGAGCAGCTGGGACTACAGGCATGCACCACTATGCCTGGCTAATTTTTTCTATATATACTAGTTGGCCAATTAATTTGTTTCTATTTATAGTAGAGACGGGGGTCTCAGCTCTTGCTCAGGCTGGTTTCAAACTTCTGACCTTGAGTGCCCACCTTGGCCTCCCAGAGTGCTAGGATTACAGGTGTGAGCCACTGTGCCCGGCCTATAATTACTATTTTATGCTATGATGAAAAAAAAAACAAAAACATATATCTAAAAAGTCAGAATTGTGCCAAATGTTTCTTTGAAATACTAACTCTGCAGAAAGATCAGATAACTAATATTTGAAACATGATCATGCCAATTTTCCTCTTTAGAAAGATCTTTCTGACAGATCTGACAGTTTTTGGTAATTTTTTTCCCTCCCATTTCACACGTACTGATTATTTTGTGTCTTTTATTTCCCCCCCTTTTTCTTTCCCACCTCTTCCTCAGCTGGAAGAAGTCAGTAGCTCGATGTTGGTCACTGTGGGGATATTTATACTGTGGAAATGGGCAAATGCCTCAAATCAGAGGTGTTTTTGTTTTTGTTTTTTTTCCTGGAGAGCTGGTTGTTAACTGCGCACCAGCACACCGGTCCTTGTTTTATTCTTACTTCTTACTCTACACCCAAAGAATATGGTTTTCTTGAACTTGCACCTCGAGGAGGACATTGTATCCAACTGTAGCAGATTGTGACAAGACCCTTGGTGCACTTTGGCATGTTACAAATTCCAGGAACAATTATCTTTGGTTTCAATCGGAGTTGTTTGCATGGGGTGGTGAAGACTGAGTTTGGACACAGACAAGAGTCTCTGCTGCCACTGCAGTGTGCGGGCTGCCCCTGAGACCCGCACACCGGGTTGTGGTCAACAGCATGGAGGGAAGAGTCAGGGGTTGGTTTGATGGAGAACTTGGAGGGGACACCTTGAACTTCATATTTTATTTTTGCTACTTTTGATTTACACCTGGGTGTCCACCGGCACCTCAGATTCCACTCATTTAGATCTGACCTCACAGTTTACAGACCTCAAGCTATTACACATTTGTACATCCCATTTCTCTTAAGGGACCCTCTTTTCCAAACATGGGGATGCAAAACCCTGGCGTCCACGCTGATGTCTCTCGGCCGTCTTTCCTGCCCTCTCCCCACCAAACCTGCTACTCCTTACGCCTTAGGGAAGCTGTTCGTGTTCGCACATGCCTTCCACTACTCACTTCCTTCCACTGCCATTGCCAGGGGCCCTCTGCGATCACCTCCGGTCCGTTCTGCAGGGCCCTGCCCCGCCAGCCCTGCTCGAGGGCCTCACCGACAGAGCCAGGCATGAACCCCGTGTTCTCAGTGGGAATCATGTTCTCCTGTGTGCCGTCTGGCACCCTCTGGGCTCACTCGTCACCTCTCAAGTGCTTCCTCCTGTGGTCGGTCTGAGCCAGGGGCAACCGTACCTGTAGCCCCGGGGCGAGTTCCGGGCTGGATGCGGCACGCCTGCCGGCCTCCCCTGCAGCCCTCGGGGTGATCGGGCACCCACGCTTCACCTCCCACTCCTGTGGACTCCCCTCAGCCCCTCTGCCACCTTGAGTTACTTGTCAATCAAGTCTCCTTCAAGGTTTGCATCTTAAAAACAAACATTTGCATATCATCTCCACATGCTTTAGTGATTTTTTTTCCCCTTGGTAGCTAAAATGGGATATAATCACAGTAAATACACTAAGCACTGCTCAAAGTGGGGGTGTGAAGAGCTTCTAGACAAATACTCTTTGTCCTGAGGACATTTCCCAGATGTTGTGCCAAGTCTCAGCCTTTACTCACACCACACCCTCTCCTTCCTCTTCCGGACTCTGTGCGAGACCCAGCCTGACCCGGTTCCTCGACAAGCCTGAGGCGGACGGGGCAGACTCCGTCCACGTGCACTACGTGGGCCTCTGGGCAGCCCCAAAGCTCCGCTCCGCCCAGGGCCTGTGGTTCTTGAAGACAAGGTGGGCTGGAAGGTGTCGGGACGGCCACACCGGTGCGGACCTCAATTGTGCCCGGGCTCGCACCCAGCTCACTCAAGCTAAGCAAGCGCAGGACCCATACTCCAGAGGAGAAGCTAATTTATTCCCAGCTGTGCATATTCCATGTTCTGAACAACCAGCTCATCGTCCGGAGACAGTAGGCAAAGGCTTAGAAGGAAAATATTTTTCACAGAGCGAAAATACTTTGGAAGAAGATAAGCTTTTTCTCCCGGACACTGGGGTTAAGCAGAAGATTGAGACAAGGGATGGAGTGTTATTTTCCTATTGTTGCCAGACCCCTGGTGCTCCAAATCCCCCAACGCCTGCAAATGCGGTCTAAATGACTTTTTTTTTTTTTTTTAAGTTTTTTTGGGGTTTTTGGTTTGGGCTTTGGTTCCCCTTGTTTTTTGCAGCTAAATAATAAAGCTCCGACAAAGGAGCCTAATAAAGGGAGTGAGACAGCTGCGGGCGGAGGCAGCTCTGAATGCCACGGCAGGTCTGGCTGCGAAGACCCGATCATCAGAGCCCCGTGCCGCCGAGGAGCCTTGATCAGGAGACACGAGGCCGCGGCTTATTGTGAGGATCCCCCAATTTATGCGGCTTTTTCAGAGGAGAGAGTCCTGAAGCTTCCAAATATCAAAAGGGCTCAGTATCTCATGGAAGAGGCATTTAAAGAAAATAGGCCCCCAAATCACTGGCCTATTGTCACATGTTCTTCTTCAGTTCATTTGAAGGCTAAAGTCGAAGCTATTTTTAAAGGACATTAAAAAAATAATGAAATAAAATGCCTCTCTTAAGTTTCTTCCTCGGGAGGTGAATGTCGCCGTGTGTACGTCAGTGGGAGATAACTCGGATGAATTAAACGTGAACTCGGCCTTTGTCTTGGGACGCAGAGGCGAGTTCTCTCGCCCTCCTTGTCTCCCCGGGGAACACGGGCAGCGCAGGACAAAGGTGGGGACGGGCTCTGGCGAGCTTGTCCTCTCGAGCGTGGATGTCCTCGGGGAATGGCTTGGGCTGCACTTTGAAATGGGGAGCCAAAGGGGGAAAATGGGAACGAGAGGGGCTTCCTGAAGCAGACAGGTGACCTCTCTGCTCATCGGGATCGCCGGCAGGAGCAGGATGCGTTTTCCAGGTGTGCCCCGCCCCCAGCGCTCCCGAGAGACCCTCCTGGAACCCGCCCCCTCCCGTGGGACGTGTCCCCTCCTTGCCCCTTTCCTGGCACCTCCAGAGCAGGAGCTCTTTTCCCTGTTCCTCGGCACGTGCTCAGCGCCCACTCAGAGCTCCGAGACTGGCTCTGTTCGTGGGTAACGCAGGTACACGGTGACATGCTCAGAAAACGGTGCTTCACAGCCCCGTGGTCAGAGGATCCTATTACTATAAATCAAGAGGGTTCTGTGGCTATTTGTTTTACAACTCCCTGGCAGA